GGGAGCCGCGCTGTGTCAGATTACACAGCGCTGCTCCCGATCGGGCTAAGCATTCTATCGCCATAGCAACCATCAGTATCCGGCGGCCGGCGGGCCCCCATCTCTGCGCTGGGAGTGTCGGATGAACGGATGATCCGACACTCTCGGCGCAGAGATGGGGTGCCCGCTGGCCGCTGGGTACCGATCCGGCGCTGGGCCCCCTAGAGCCCCAAGGCCCTGGTGCGTCCGCACCGGCGGTAGTTCCGCCACTGACTAGTCTGATACACAATAACCAACCTTTAAAATAGGCCTTCAAATGAGCAAGATTTACAGAATTAGGGTCAGCCCAGTTTAAGCGCATTATGCTTAAACTGGGCTGATCCTGATCCCTGATGGTCATGCTGGACGTAATGCGCATAGGGCGGAGCATTTGACGTCACATTGATCTGACTGCCGCAGCCATTTGAAACTCTTGTACATACTCTGAGAGTCCATGCTGTGTTACCACTGCTTTTATGCAAGTAATTTTCTTTTAATAAAGCATACTCTGGATGGTGCGCGCTACGGTGTTTGCTTTTTTTTTTGGGATCATACGATCCTGGCATTGACACCTTATACTGAGGAGGCCTATAGATTGAAGGTTATTGTTATTGCTGGCGTACTAAAGAAGTGTTAAGGTGCCCATACACCTTGCGATCATACTCGTGGGAAATCCCGCGATCGTACTATAATCGCAAGGTGTATGGAAGGCGTGTGACCTCTACTACTGTAAGGTCGCACAACTTTTGTCTTACGAGCATGTTCAAAAAAACCCGCCAAGAATTGTACGATTGTCAGCAGGTTTGTGGCATGCATGTCTGCATTGCAGTCATCGGAAGGCCGCAAGTACGATCTGCCTGTCCAAGATGGGCAGATTGTATGTTTTTTTAATTACCTTACAACCATCGCAAGACAAAAAGTCTTGGTTTTAAGGTGTATGGCCAACTTCCTTTACATAGATCTGTTTGCTGGTCTGATTACACCATTGGAGGACATCTGTGAGCGATTGGAGCCGAGGGCCCCCCTCCCCTGTTTAAGGGAATTGCCCGATTTGACCTTTTGCTGGGGTCTATCAATAAGGTGAGCACCCCTATGTCTAGTGCGGTGCATTGGGTGAAGGAACAAGAAATAGTAATCACTTGCTATATTTGTACATTTTTGCAGAGTTATGAAGATTTAAAGACTTAATACCTGATTGATTTTTATTCACTGACATTTGTTTGAGTCACTGATTTTTTTATACTGTGTATCTGATCATTGTTGTAGCTTGGGACATTTAGTTATTCATTTTTCACGTATACACACTCAGTGGGTGTACATTCCAGTACCTTGTAGCTGTTAAGCTTGCTTATTTACACAGTTCATTCTATATACATTGTGCAACTTGATTACAAACGAACATTAGCATTCAAGGGGTGGATTGGCCTATGGGGTACCACATCCCAAATAGTCTGTATAGCCCATAGGGTTTTTGGGTACCCATATCAAATGCAATATGTTGGTATACAAGAGTTTGAGCAAACAAAAACAAAAAGTTTCCAAATGGCCAAAAGTAAAGCTATACAAGTTATGTCTCTACTGTACCTCCATGTTATTTATAGTTCAACACACACCAGATTGATTCCCATAGATTAGAGTAGGAAATAAGATGGGGTTATCTCAATGTATTTCACAGATTATATTCTGCTTCAAGAGTTCTAGTTGAGGGATTCAATTTAATATAGTGTTCAAAGATATGTCTATTAAAAGTATTATGGGCAATGAGAGGTATAACTTCGACGAAGCCCCCTCAATCAGGTAAAATGGTCAGATGATTCTAGCACTGATGTTCACAAATTCATATGTACTCTATTTCTCCATATTTTCAGAATCGTAGATAATGGACTCTTGAGGTAAACTAAGGAATCTTGTAGACTTCCACCTGCAAGGGTATTCAGTCTCACAGCTTTCGCAATCCTGTTTAACCAGTTGACATCCGCGGTGTTAAACCCCCTTCCCATCCAGGCCATTTTTCAGTATTCAGCGCTGCGGTACTTTGACATTTATTCCGTCATGCTGTACTGAAATGAATTTTATACCCTTTTTTGGGGACAGATAGTGCTTTCTTTTGGTGGTATTTATTCACCACTACGGGTTTTATTTTTTTTACTATATTAAGGAAAAATTACCGAATTAAAAAAATGCGGCAGTGCAGCAGTGCCGTCCGTCCGTTTTTTTACTACGGGCGGCCGGCAAGAGGTTAGAGCCCCTTGAGGATCCTTATTACATTATCTATACATTGGTGGAATAGTGTAACTAGTGGGGAGAAAGCCCACCTCCTTCACACGCAAAGTGAGATATATACAGATGTGACTTAAACATGGCATGATAGATGGGGGGATATATATGCTGTTTTATTACCAGTTTATTCTTGTATTTTTCCTATACAAACCTATTGTCTGAGTGGGTACCTAAAAAGACCACTATGTGCTATACTTCTATTTGGTACAAGTGAAAGCAATATTTTTTACTTTTGGATAGAGTGGAAAGGGATTTAAAACTCCTATCAGATTTAATTGCGGGCTGCGTCTCCATTAAGGAGATTACCCCTCTTGTCCTGGTGACTTCTCTGAACCCCACTAAATTTTGGATGGTTATCAGAACAGCATAGATGGTAAATCTTCCAATGATTTGAGTTACACATACCCCCTAGGGGAGGGGTGTGCTACTGGACAGGAAGAAAAAGGGTAATCTCCCAATAAGGGGCCCAACAGGCTCCACCCACTACAGACTGGCCTGCCCTTTGTTTTCTGCAGGCAGATACAAGACCAGTCACCAGCGCAGTGGCTGGTCTTGAAGTTCCTGCACAGAGGTAAAGTTTCTCACATGATTACTGCACAGATCTGGAAGAAATACGTGAATCTTGGTGTTAGTGTAGGAATACATATGCCTTGTTACATAAGCAGGCTGCTTCCTGCTGACCCCCCTTCTGACAGTGCAGCTGGTATCCATGTAAATTTTGCCTAAGCCATAGCAGGCAGAGCAATTTAGTCATGGCAAGAGGTTCATGGCCTAAAAATGTTAGGCTGAATTGACACATTTGCATGAAGATGCAAGTGGCATTCTTAAATACTACCAATAAGCTCTGTTTACCTCAAGGCTCAGACACATTGACTGGTCAGTTATGGCTTTAAACTTTCAAGACTTCTGCAAAGAACAGAGTGCCTGAACACAACTCCAGCAGTATCCCAGACCTTCCCATTACAGTGGAATGCCAGATCAGTAGTGTCAGATCTTTCCGATAAGCCGTGCACACAGATGCCCATTAGTTAATGATGGGCAGCCGCACTGGCCAATAGATTATGCATGAGGTAGGAAAGGGCAAGCAAGCATCACTATTGAAAGTGCTGAGGTGACATAGGGAGGGGTTTGGAGGCTGCTGCCGGTATGTGCAAGCTCCGTTACAATGGCAACAGTTTTACTAGACCGGAACAGAGGGAAGATCTGCAACGAACACTAAAATAGGTCTGACAGGGGTTCTACCACCCCCACCCCGAATTTTACCTTACACAGAAGAGTAAGCATTCCAACCATAAAGGATACAGCAAAAAAAACAATCATCCCACTAGCCAGAAACTAAGGCAAGGGTTTTAGAAATTCCACTGCTTTAGAAGTAAAAAGGACTTACGGCAGAGCTCTGAGGTCTCATCAGATCCATCTTCACAGTCTGGGTCTCCATCACACTGCCATCGATCTGGTAGGCACTGGCCATTCCTGCAAACAAAATCCGACTCTGCACAGGTTTTCTTTACTGTGAAGAAATTTGAAAAAGGAGCATATTGAATATGTATACAGCAAATATATTCTTCAGATAGAAGCCAGAAACATAAGTGATTTGGGATGCAAATTCCCAGTATTCATAAGATATAAAAAGGTCTGTAGCGATTTTGACAGTTTGTACAGTGGACTGGGGCTACTTTCTTGTTCTATCCATAGAGGGAAAAAAAAGTGGGGGCTAAAGGAAAACTGGCAACAACTTAAGATGGAACAACCTGATAAGCGTTAAAACCTTCCCTAGTCTATAAAAATCATAAGAAAAAAAAAGTTACTTTAATGCTGGAAGATTCTAGGAGTTTAGGGAGATTATCATTCTAAATTAGTTAGAAAAATATGTATTACTTTAAAAGCTCAACTCCCAACTGGTCACTTTACTGCTGTGTACCTGCTGGGATGATCTCCCCTTCACCTCCTATCCCCTGGATAGAAGGGGAAGAAACTGGGTGAGAGTGTTTAGGACAGGAAGGTGCAGTTAGGACCTGGGGGCTAGGAGTTGTGCTTAATGCTTCTGCTAGAAAGCAAACTGTTCACATGGAACTTACCGCATGAGCTTTCATCGGACCCATCAGCACAGTCTTCATCTCCATCACACTTCCATACTTCAGTAATACAACGTCCATTAGCACATTGAAACTGGTGCTCGTCACACAATGTTCTTGTTCCTACAAAAGACATTAAAATACCAAAACATCTCAGGTCAGCAGTAATTATGCATTAAATTCCTATTAAGTCTTTAAAAAGTCAATTTGGAAACCAAGGACTCAATTTTGGGGGAACATTACCAAGTCAACTTGGCGTTACCCTTACGTGGACCACCAAATATTGGTTTTGGATGGGGTTAGAATGTTTTGTTTGTATCCTCAGCTTTCCCCCTTGCTAGGACAAGACCAGGAAGCAATGAGAAAAAAAAATTACTCAATAGGACACAAACCCTAAGAGTATCTCGTCTCCGTGACTTAACCAGCCCCATCTCTTATAGTCAAAGCCTAGGATGACAGGGGTGGGAGGGTACAAATTACAGTCATTTGGGGGTGTTCACTGCCCATTTTATAATTGCCTAGTCTGAACCAGACTACATACAAATGCATCATTTGTATGCCAAAGGCAGACAAATCAGGAGGATAGTTGGGAATTGTGATCTCATTCCAGGATAAAGCCACTATACATTATAGGAGACTACAATGGGAAAATGTGGGGGGTCCCTATAGCTTAACAGTTTGGCTAATAGAAGTAGGTCGTTTTCATTTAATTACAGATCACTAGTGTTTCATAAGATATTTAGGATTGATTTGTATTTTGCTGTTTCACAAGAGAAAGTGGCCATGACTAGAATGGTTATCTGCTCATTTCCCCTGCAATCACTAGATCAGATAATAGCAGTAATATGACACACACGCGGCTTAAATGTCCCTGCAGCGATTTGGTCCCAAGCTCCCTGGTGGCAGGGGAGGAGACAAAGGGCAGAAGAGCCATAGGCTCCTCCTGCCATCAACCAACCTGTGGGGGATATGGACACAGCCACTGCAGGAACATGCATGCACTGGTGCCTCAACAGCAGCTACTGCTTAGCTAGGTAAAAGAAAAGGAACATACCTTTCATGCAAAGGTGGGCCTTCTAGTACTGATTAACCCTTTCGCTGCCAAGCCCTCCGGAACATTTTTCAAATCAGCTGGCCAAGCCATTTTTGAATTTTCTGCAATTTTTTCCTATTGATTTTCCACTGCTGCGTTGCTAGCGTTTGTAAAAGACCCCCCAAACTATATTTTCTGAAAGCGCAGGCCCGGTAGAATAAAAAGATGGTGATACTAAATTTGTAGGCCCTGCGATAATTGCGCAAATGTTTCTCAAATTAATATTAAACCTATAAAAATACACAATTCAATTGTTAAAAACACACCAAAATCAGTATCCGGGCACAAAAACAAAATATTTTTTGACTAAATCTAAAAGATAAAACTGTATTGAGTTAATAAATAACAATTAGCAAATTTGTAATTGCGCCTTTTTGCGAAAAGGTAAAAAAATGAAGGTATGCAAAACTGTAAATAATCGACTTATGTAAAAAATTGTTTTGGTGTTTGTGTTGTGATAAAATGATACAGGTGTATATTTAATTGCAACACAAGGTATCACAACGCATGGCAATGAGTCACAAAGCTTTGCCATGCGCTGCCACAGTTAATTTAATGTTTTTTTGAAAGAAAAAAAAATTAAAAAGATCATGCACTGCGATGCGTTCTAACAACGCACTGCAGCGCATGTGCATGGTGTGCACCACAATATGTGTGTTATGTGGGGGGGGAGGGAGGGGTTGTGCTTTTTTAAAAATAATTTTTGTTTTACATTTAATTTTACATTTTTTATTTAATTTAATAATTTTGTATTTATTTTTTACTGTTGGGGGGCTACGGTGAAATCTCTGGGGTCTAAACAGACCCCTGACATTTCCCTTTTGAAATAGAAAAAGAAATTGAGGTCTAGCTCCGCCCAAACATTTTTTCATTTTTCTCTACTTTCTATTCTGCTCGGTACCACAGAGGAACTGAGCAGAATAGAATAGCTGAGCCGAAGGGCACTCTCCGGCATTCGGCTATTCACTCACTGCTGTTTGGGCCCTATGAGAATAGGCCGAACAGCAACGAGTAGCCTGCCGGAGGTTTGGCTAAGCCGATCCAGATGTTGGATTAGCTGAGTCAAACTCCTTCTGCACTTCAGCCGACCCGAACCCAGCAAGCCGTTGTACGGCTGATTTCAGTCGGTGTACAGCTGAAATCAGCTGTACAAGCCTGAAGTGAATAGCCGAACGGCATTCGGCTCACTTCGTGTTAGTTATTCACAAGGCTGCTTTCGGCAGCTTTGTGAATAACCCCCTATCTGTCCCCAGTTATTTACAAACACCGGAGTGATCACGCGATCACTCCGGTGTTTGTGCTGCACAGAGGATCGGTATTTTGCAAATTTAAAATTGCGCCTTTTTGCGAAAAGGTAGTAAAATTACGGTACGCAAAACAGTAAATAAGCGACTTATGTTAAAAAATTGTTTTTACGCTGTGTTGGTGTTTGTGTTGTGATAAGATACAGGCGTTTATTGCAACACAAAGATCACAACGCATGGCAATGCGTCACAAAGCTTTGCCATGCGCTGCCACAGTTAATTTAATTTTTTTTTAAAGAAAAAATACATTAAAAAAATCATGCACTGCGATGCGTTCTAACAACGCACTGCAGCGCATGTGCATGGCGTACACCTCAATATGTGTATGTTATGTGGGGGGAGGGAGGGGTTGTGCTTTTTTTGTACACATTTTTTTATTTTGTTACATTTTCTATTTAATAATTTTTTATTTTTTTACTGTTGGGGGGCTGCGGCGAAATATCTGCGGTCTAAATAGACCCCTGACATTTCCCTTATGAAATAGAAATTGAGGACATAAGTCCTCAATTTCTTTTTCTGCAGCCCCAGCACTCAATGAATGAGAAGCCTCAGTACAGAGGCTTCTCATTCATTCACAAACTAATGATAGTAAAAATATTTTACTATCATTAGTTTCTGAATGGGGAGGAGCCTCTGTAGTGAGTGCTAGTCCCCATTCATAAATTCCCGGTATTTTTGATAATAGCAGTCAGTGGCTTGTGAGCCGCTGATGACAGCTATTAATTTAAAGGGGACAGTCTGCTGAACAGTTCTAAAGCGACCATCAGCTTATAGTAGAACTGTAAATGCCAGGTTCGTATGGCATACTGAGCTGGCCAGCTAGAAGCACTTTTGTAGGTCTGTATGCCATATGTCCTTGGCAGCGAAAGGGTTAAAAGGTTCTTTTTTTTTAACATCACTCTAAATACACCATGTAAACCATGGGCACAGCAATGGGTTTAGACAGGTGGTTGAGGGGCAGTGAAATCAAGTGACTGATCTGTGGTTTTACTGCTCCCTGGCTGCTTGTTGCAATGTTAGCATTGCAGCCAGACCATGCTGTATACATTGCTGTGGCATTTTGCTTTGCAGCAAAAGTTACACAAAAATGTACACACCATGTTGTATAAGTCAGGTGGTGCTGTCTGCCAAACCATCATAGAGGTGAACAGGACTGCATTGCAACTGTACCACAGTAGTTAATACTCCCTCGGGACTCCTACCTCAAGAGGCAGATGCCTCAGGAGGGGGGGAGTGCAGGCAGCTGATTTAGAGCCTCCATGATTTAAAGATCTGAAATACAATGGAAAAAAAATAAATAGGCCAGAGACTAAGGCCTTGTTCACACCAAGCGCAGAGCAGATCCGGACCAGAGCAGGTGCAGACCGGATCAAAACTGCATCCAATGTATTCCTATGGTATTTTGACCTCCAGTTCACATCGCAGCGTGCGGATCCAGACCAGATCCAGACCAGATGAAAAAAAACTGCGGCAAGCCCTATTTTACCTGCTCTGGGTCTGGAACGCATCAAAAACACATCTAAAACGCGGCACAACCCACTGCACTGCGTGTGCAGAAACCTGACCGGATCTGGTCTGCATTTGGTGTGAACAAGGCCTTGGCTGGGGGAGGAAGGACTAGATCAGGGGTGGCCACAATTTGTGTGTTAAGATCTACTTTCAAACGATGAGCTACATGAGATCTACCAACACTCTCTCCCCTGGCTGTCTCTCCCCCCTCTCCTGGCTCACCTTGCTGTATTTTGCTACAGGCTGTGTAAACTAATATTCTTTGGTGTAATACTAGCACTTAACCACCAGAAAGGTGTCAGGGAGCTTGGCTCAGTAGACTCAGGCTAATAGATATAATCATGTGTGCACGGCCAAATAAATATACCAAAATGGAATAAAGGGGCCACCATTCACACTCTTCATGATCTACCAGCATCAGCTTTGAGAGCTACTGGTAGATCACAATCTACCTAATGGGCACCCCTGGACTAGATGTTGCTGCATGTCCTGCAGACATGCACAGGTTATATCCAACTTGTTGCAGCTCCTGATGTGAAAAGCACAGTGGGCAGTGAAATGAGTAAGCAGTTTGAGCACTGTATGAGCCTACAACCACACAAAAACAAAAGGCAAAGCTGGAGTTTAGCTTTCATACAGTCAACTACCCAGAGTTCAGTATTAAACACTGCTAGAAGTGCATCAGAAATCAGTCTTGATATTTGCTTGCCATACCAGCCTGCAGAGGGAGAACCAGCACCAAGAGCCAATAAAGGCTCTATGCAATGCTAAAGCTCGCCTTAGACACATGACCCGACAGTGTCAAACACCTGGAGAACAAACAAGCTGCTTTGAAAGGCTGATTGGCAGCATCACTCTCACCATGCTTGCTCTATAGTTTAAACATGAATTATCTTGCAGTGCATTTATGTTTAGCAGCATGGCGCTTTCCTTTGCAGACCTCATTCTGTAAAACTGCTTGACTGCCAGGCCGACCTAACTGCTTCAATACACTGCACTACTCAGAAAGCTGCAGATCAGGAGACCTGAAATAGACTATCTAGTCTGCATGCTTGTTCTAGGTCACCAACTCCTAGTATTGCTACCAAAGAGCCATGAAGCAGATAGGAAACTAGTCAGCAAAAGGGGCCTTATTTCATAGAGGACAGACATACTAAACCTGGAAAAGAGCCAGGAAACATTCTAGGTTAGCAAAAGAAGCCATTTTGTTTCATTGG